TCAGCGCCCACCTTGGCCAATCTGTTACTACTGCGGCTATCGTGGACATATCGCCGTTTCGTCGAAGGTGCCAACGAGACGAGCAACGCGGCTACATTCCTGAAAAACATTGAAGTTTACGTCTGACCATGAACTACCTACGACCACCCTCCAACTCGTCTTATTACCGTTCACCGTCTCTTACCTACCATACTGACATGCCTGGGAATTCCCGTACGTCTCGCCACAGGTCGCCTTCGCCAGGTCGCCGTTCAGTGTCGCCTCTGCGGCCCGCCTCCAATTCTACGAAAGTTCACGCAGAAAACTCCCCGATGCAGTTTTAGGAGAGGAAACTGCATCCACCAGACAGCTAACAATTCCTCCAGAGCGGCCATCGAATTTGATGGTAGTGTTTGTAGAAGGCGTAGGCGTTGAGGCTCTTGTAAACACTGGCACTGCTGTTTCGATAATTCATGCTGATTTTTGTTCCTGCCTTCGAAAAGTCACTATGCCTTATGGCGGCCCACCTCTCCGGGCATCGACCAACGCTCTCATTTGTCCACTTGCACAGTGTACCGTTCGTGTCTGCATAGAAGGCATTCGTCATCACATTGTTTTCGCGGTATTTCGTGAGTGCACCCACGCTCTCATTCTGGGATGGGATTTCTTGTCTTCTGCGTCCGCTTTCATATCTTGTCATCAGCGCCTCCTGCATCTAAATGCCACTGACTCTTCTCCTCTTGAACACGATGGACGTATCCGCCTTGTCACCATCTTCACCTTATGTACTTCGGCCATACATCGAAGAAATTATAAGTGTTATTGCACTGACATTGTGGATGGTGACGTACTAATTCTCCCTTACGGCCATACCCTACGTAGGGGCATTGTCATCACACCAGGGCTTATTCGCTTCTTCGATGGGTCTACCTACCTAACCACCTTAAATCAAACGCCCGAGTGTGTACTGCTCCCCTGTGGCTCAACAGTATCTTGCGCAGCCGACAGTGAGCCTGTTGCGATTGTTACTCTTCCGAACAACAACCACAACAATGTCCTAAGTCACAATCACTGCCATTCAATGCCTCTTCCACACCTGTGTTGGCAACCATAAACACTGACTTAACACCTGATCAAACTGAAGATTTGCTCGCCCTGTTAAATAGACACCGTTCTCTATTTGACGTGAACTCGCCCGCCCTCAGCATGACTACCACCGCTACTCACAACATCCAGACTGACTGCTCTCGTATTGTACATCGGCGTCCATATCGCGTGTCTCAGGCAGAACGCAAGATCGAGGAAAACGTCTCAGACATGCTACGACGCAACATCATACGTCCTTCCTCGAGTCCCTGGTCATCCCCAGTTGTTCTCGTTCAAAAGAAAGATGGGACAGCGCGTTTCTGCGTCGATTACCGTGTGCTAAACAAAATAACGTGCAAGGATGTTTATCCCCTCCCTCGGATTGACGATGCACTGGATTCATTAGAGGGCACAGAGTATTTTTCTAGCCTCGACCTTAGGTCAGGCTACTGGCAGATACCAATGTCGGAGTCTGATAAAGAGAAGACCGCCGTTTCAACGCCTGATGAGTTGTATGAGTTTAATGCAATGCCTTTAGACTCTATAATGCGCCCTCCACCTTCGAACGCATGATAGATGGTGTATTGCGTTATTTGAAATGGAAAAAGTGTCTGTGCTATGTCGATGACATAGTAGTGTTTTCATCCACGTTCTCGCAGCATCTACAATGTCTTGACGAAGTCCTCACGTGCCTCGCAAAAGCCGGTCTACAGTTTATACCTTTGCTTGCAAGACAATCAAGGTTCTCGGCCACTTCATCAGCAAAGAAGGAATTCAGCCGGACCCCGAGAAGCTTGCCGCTGTCCCCGATTTTTCTCGTCCATTACGTCAAAAGGACCTACGCAGCTTTCTTGGGTTATCTTCTTATTTCCGGCGCTTCATACGTGGCTTCGCGGAACTTGCGTCTCCGCTCCGACAACTCCTTGCAAAGAATGGCGCCTTCGTTTGGTCCGAAGACTGCGAAAGCGCTTTCACGGCATTGAAGCAAGCCCTCACGTCGGATCTGGTACTGTGCCACTTCGATTCAACCGCACCCACCATCCTTCACACAGACGCAAGTAGGTCTAGCTGCGGTACTCTTGCAGCGTGACAAAAACTCACGCGAACGCGTTATTGCTTACGCAAGTCGTGTTCTTGCTGCCGCAGAAAAGAACTACACTATCACCGAGCAGGAGTGCCTTGCTGTTGTTTGGGCAGTGCAAAGATTCCGACCATATCTTCATGGCCCGATAAGTTTTTCATCGCTGAAAAACTTATCGGGTCGCCTCGGTCGCTGGGCGCTTCGCTTGCAGGAGTATGATTTTGATGTCACCTGCAGATCTAGGAAGAAGAATCAAGATGTTGATGCTCTATTGTGCTGTCCTTTGCCCAGCAAAGGCCATTCACCATTCATACTCCAAAACGACAGCACCTCTCCAATTGCAGCGCTATCCTATCCGTCCTTGTTTCACAACAACGTGTGGACCCATACTGCCACACCATTTTTGACCGCTTGACCGGCTCTACTGCTCCTCCAAACGCTAGACTTCATTGACAACTGAAACAATTTAAGCTTGTCGGTGTTGCTTTATACCGCTACATTTACCACATCGATGGCAACAAGTGGGTACCCGTCATCCCACATTCTCTGCAACGTGAAGTTATGGAAGCCTTTCATGATGATCCAATCGCCACTCATCTAGGCTATCACAAGACTTACGACAAAATACGAAGTCGTTTCTTTTTGGCCTGGCCTCTCTTCAGCCGTCCCTAAGTATGTTGCCTCCTGTGTCCATTGCCAACTGCGAAAACAACCGACAACTGCTCCGGCTGGCTTAATGCGACCTCTTCCTTGTCCCGCCTCGCCTTTTAATGTCGTTGGAATTGACTTGTATGGCCCTCTTCCTATATCATCCAATGGGAATCACTGGATTGTCATGGCCATCGACCATTTTACCCGCTACGTAGAAACGGCTTCTATACCATCTGGGACTGCCACTGAGGTCGCCGATTTCTTTCTTCGCCACATCTTTTTGCGCCATGGAGCTCCGCACATTCTCCTGAGCGATCATGGCAAAGTCTTTCTCTCGTCTATTGTCGAGTAAGTTTTGCGTGCCTCGAACACTGTTCACAAGACCACTTCTAGCTGCCACCTGCAGACCAACAGATTGACTGAACGCTTTCATTGGACCCTATCGGACATGATCGCCATGTGCCTTCACCCTAACCACACGAACTGTGATGCAATTTTACCCTTTGTGACATTTGCTTATAATACGGCTGCTCAACGCACTACCGGCTATTCTCCATTTTTTTCTCGTCCATGGTCGCTTTCAGAGTTTCTCTCTGGATGTCTCTTTTCTTTCGGCCCCTGCACCCTCGATGGCTCCTTTCTCTGAAGAATTTTTATCTCGTCTCGAACACTGCTGTCACCTAGGCCGCGATAACACCGGCCTCTCTCAAGACACTCGAAAATCTCGCTACGACTCGTCTCGCCGTGTTGTGAGTTTTTTTGCTGGTGACAAAGTTCTTCTATGGACTCCACTGCGTGTCCCCGGCTTATGCAACAAATTCATCAGTCGCTTCATTGGGCCATACACGGCGGTCAAACAGACATCTCCTGTCAATTACCGCATTTCTCCTTTTAACACTAACTGATCATCGTTGCCGAGGGACAGAGATAGTGCACGTATCTCGTTTGAAGCCTTATGCGCGACACATTTCATAATACTCTCAGGCGACCAGGCAGCTGCTTTCACTGCGCGGGGGAATTGGTGTGAGCGCGACAAGCGAATGACTCTTCATTCTCTTTAGATATCATCATTACCTGTACATCTTCATCATCTGTAAATATCATCACCAGTGTGATTTAGCTCGAGCCTGGCTGAATAAACCGGTTCTTCACAATACCTTGTTGTGACGTCGAGGTTAAGTATGAATCAAAAGTAGCATGCTGTTAAAGTCGAACCTTTTTATAAGAGACACTGATATAAAACACAAATGGGTAGAGACACCAGCACGCTTACAGTAAAATACGGGTTGATAGGAAAATGCTTACAAGGTACCCTGCTTATAAGAGATGTCTCATATAAAAGACAGGCGTGCTCCAAGCAGCAATTCTTCTTATAAAGAGATTTAGCTGTATTAATTTTCTAGGGTGAAGTCATACTTACCAGTACACTTTCTAGGCCTTTCATTTGATAAAAAAAAAAAAAAAAAAACTGAATACTTCGTGTCAGTACCCTTTTAATGATGTTGAATGTATGTGTGTAGCTGCCTGGTAGAAGCTCCAGTCATGCATTGCACTGTCACACCTCTTCCTTGAGGGGTGTTGGCAGTCTTGTGTTATTGTGTGAATCCATAGCAATGTCCATAATTTCGAGCGATTGCTTTTAAAATAGGCTAAAGGTAGAAGTGATTTGAGTGAAATGATGCTCTTACTATAAGAAGAGACTTGATCAACTGGAAATCTGTGATACAGCTGGCAAGGTTGCCATGAAGTTCTTGCACCCGCTCACTACCATGTCGTAGATTTTGATGGTGTGCATCGAAGCCTGCGTATTTAGCTATTAATAAATAGTGACTGTGTTGTCTTTTAACAGAGATGAAGATTGACTTTGGCAGGTTTGGTGAGCTTTTACTGAGACCAAATTGTGGCATAAATGCCTTGTGATGCTTGATACCATGCTAATGTGGTAGCACTGGCTATTTGGCAAGAAATTCGAGAACTTTCACCTTTATTTTTAAGAAAGACTTTATAAAAAATGTTTTATTAGTATAAACTTCTTTGATTTAGTACCCTTCTATAAACTTGATTTTCAGATATTGTAGACCTTAGCACTTACTCGTACGATCTCAGCTATATTATTTTTGTCTTGGCTTTGGGATTTAAATATGCTGCCCGGATGTGCTGCTAAATGTGTTTGTTTATTGAGACTCTTCTCATTTTCGCTCAGGTTCTCAGAGAATGGGGTAGAGTTCCAGAGAGTCTTTTACACAAATGGGCTCATGAGGATGCGCCTAACCCCAGACAGCAAGAAGATGGTGATTTGTACAACAGGGGGTTACTTGATGGTGATTCATGACCTCAACTTGCGCACACTGGCTTACGACTTACGTGGGTTTAAGGTAAGTACTAAATGATTGTCTTTCCTTTTTTAGCAGTGATAAACGACGTTTGCATGTTTGCATAGGCTTACTGAATTCTGCCGGTTAATCTGGAGCTGCTATGTTACCTGGGACAAATGCTCACATTTATCGAATCTAAATAGGCCGGAAGAAAACTGTATACAGTGTTATGGCTTACAGATCGAGCTGTTGCATGCAGCTGGGTTGTAGAAATGATGGCTTTAATTTCTGCAGTGTCTAACTGGGGTGCTTTACTTGTACGATGTTGTTAGAGGAATATTTTTGCTCCTCTCTCTTTAATTGACAGTCAGATGAACCCTGGTACCAGCATGAAGCCCAGTGGTAGCAAGAGAGTTTCAATAAAAGGGCAAAAAATGCCCTATTGTTCGTATATAGAGTCAAAAATGGACTTCTTTGTGCTCTTTGTAGGCATGACTAGACTCATTGTGCAGAAGTTCTTGCTCATCTCAATCCTTACTAGCATAGTGCTCTGCACTCCGCTGTTTACTGTGTTGACAGCACTCTGCTGTTACATTGTTCCGAATTATCCGTGGTCAATGTTGAACATCTCGGCATTGACCAACATCATTCCATGACCACTCGGCATGACCAGCATCCAAGCACTCAGCATCATTAATGTCTCTCTGTCAACATAGTCATTGTAACCACTACAAGACTGCACAAGAAGAAATTCCAGTTGGGATTTATTTTTTACTGCTAGTTAATAAATGCAGTAAGTCTTGTATATAAGTTGCAACAACTTTTGCATAAAAGGTAAATCATGTTTTTTTGCTATAACATGTCACTATATTAACCTAAAAACCTAAGCCCCTAATTAACTCTTAAAAAAACATGCACATAACACATTATTCTTTTTTTTTTGCATGGGTTATACATGAGAAAATATGCTGTTTATCAGATTGCATAAATTGCAATGCTGCAGATGGAAAAAAATTATTTCGATATCTTGAGGGTAACGAGATAGACTGCCTTGGCGTGGTGTTGCCTTTTTAAAGGGCTGCTAAAGAATGCCATGATTCAAAACTTCTCATGATGTACAGATCACTGCACAATCCTAAAGTTAGAACATGCTGTCACAATAATTTTGCATACAGATAGTGTAATAATGAAGTTATGGGGGTAACACCCCCATTTTGACTGGTTTCTGTTTCGTACTTGGCCTCACAGACCTTCTTCGTCACACAGAGGTGTTAGCATAGCTTGTTGTTATGCCTATGCCTACTTTGGCAATGTAACACAATATCGGCAATTACATCAGCGCGCAGCCAACGAAAGAGCGAGGCTTTCTACTCATGTCAGAGCGGCGCAGTTAGGAAGCGCTGTGCGAGGTGTGCATGGCACAGGCGAGGTAAACTAGAATGTGACACATGTGACAACTGTCGAAGCCAAGACACCTTGTAGCACAGAGGACCAGTCGATGAATTCAGGGCTATGTAATGTTGCCCATGGGCAACAATACCTCACTAGGCGGGTGAAGGGGACTGGACAGGGATTCAGGAATAGTTTTTTTTTTTGGAAATGAAGCATCTGCACGATGTGCAGCACTGTAATTTTCTGAAAATGTGATCGCTGGGGCCTTCTTTACTACGACAGGCATAATGCCAGCCGCTTGAACTATGCACGTATGTGCCGGGCGAAAAGAAAGATTCTTCCGCTTGGGCTCTGGGCTTAACCGGTCAGCCTGAGTGAGCTTGTCAGAATGACGAGCTTGTTGGGGGGGGCGGGTTGCAAAAAGAAAGTTGTGGCCCGTTTTACTGGTGGTTTAAGCTTACATTGTTGTTTTACCCGAAGAAAGAGAAGATAGGCAAACATGCCTTCAGGAGACATAAATAAGGCACTTTGCTGTCGCAAAAATTTAGTGTGAAATTCAGGTAAAACGTGCTCTTCAAGCATATTATTCAGTATTTTTCCAGTTGTGAAGGCATGCCGATGGTTAGTGTCGTTACTTGAATGAATGAGGCACTGTGCTGATTTGTGTGAAGAGATAGAATGGATACCTCATTATGGTGATTAGTTGGGGAATTTATATTTTGGTTATACACTTTAATAAAAACACTTAATAAAGATCTGGGGCTCCGCTGCGGTGGTCTAGTGGCTAATGTACTCGGCTGCTGACCCGCAGCCGAATCCCGGCTGCGGCGGCTGCATTTTCGATAGAGGCAAAAATGCTGTAGGCTCGTTGGCTCAGATTCGGGTGCACGTTGAAGAATCCCAGGTGGTCGAAATTTCCGGAGCCTTCCACTACGGTGTCTTTCATAGTCATATGGTGGTTTTGGGGCGTCAAACCCCAAATATAAATCAATTAATAAAGATCTGGGCTTGATATCTAATTTCTGTCTCATCAGGTGAATTAGTGAAGATGCGGGCTGGAGATCACATGCGAGACAAAACATCGACTGCTGTTGTCCGATTCACAAAATGAACTGAATTATTTTGTGAAGATTTACGTTAGACTACCTGTCCAAATTGCAGATTTAGCTGCCTTGGCTGTCCCATTATTATGGTTGGGAGCTTGTTCAAGAAACCCAGGTGCTAAAAATGAATCCAATTTTCCTTACATTGTATGACGATTTCAGCATGAAGAACCCAGGAATGTAATATAATCAGTCATAAGATTGAAGCAGGATAGGAGTGAAGTAATGTGCATTCAGCAGAAGTCCATCATTTAACCAGTTTCGAGAAGTACGTCTTCAAAATTTATTTTGAATACATATTTCTTTTTATTTATTTCTAAGTGCTCTGATGTTGCATGCAACCCTTATCAGTTTGCCATTTCCCATAATAGTGAAGGAAGATAGCTGGAACAATAGGGCATTTTTTCATATATTGGAGACGTACCACAGATATTAAAGACGTACCAGAGATATTACAGTTTTTCAAACTAGTGCTATGCACAGAGTATCTGACAACCAATAATTTATTCACTACTGCATATGTTCTGTTAAGTAATTGGTATGTGTGCTGTAAAGTGGTTAGTTATAAAATAGTCAAATTTGTGTTTATCTGATATACCACTTTGCAACTGTCTTGCATATAGTAGCAGCTATCTTTTAAGGTGTGTCACCACTTTAAAAAACAGACTTGCTAACAAAAGTAATTTTATTTTCTACATCTTTGAGAACCATTTTTATTCAAGAATATTCGGAAAAAGGAATTCTGTTTTTTTAACTAGCGTAATTCTAACTCCTCCTTTGTGCATTCTTAAAGCGGGACTGAAAAGTCCCACTACAATAATCCGTGCTTACTCATCATAGCTGCCACTAATCATAAGACTCTGGTGTGGTAATAAAAATCTTTACTGTTGTTATCATTGTTCTGGATTACTACAGTTTCCTAAATTGTCTGTTGACTGTATCGTAGTACATATGCTTACGAGTCTAGTGAAGTGCATTGGGGGGCTTATGCAGCTGTGCTGGCATCATTCGGGTAATATTACATTTGCATCAGCATAGGACCACTTTGTTTTTATGATGATGCACACTGTTTTGCCAAGTTCTTTTTGTTTAGAAGAATTGGCTTCCTGCATCAAAACATCATCTGTGCTTGTAAGCTATACGTTGCTGCTAGCTGTGATCTTTTGTTATGAAAAGAAAAAAAATCTCGAGTGGAAGAGTTTCAGCGTAGTTGCCTCAATGTACCGTATTTACTCGATTCCACCGCGCCCTCAATTGTAACGCGCTCCCGGTTTCCACGTCGAAAAAAAAAAAAAAGTAAGATATCAATTGCAACGCGCACCCATTTTTCTCGCTGGCCCGCACAATGACATCACTCGAAAAAAAGGACTCCTTTCGGGAGCGTCTTCCATTTAAATATGAGGTATGGGGGAAGCTTGTGTCCACATTGACGTGTAACAGAGCATTGACGTCACTGTAGTTTTACCGTGGACCGATGTCAGCACGCGAACTTGCTTCGCCCCCTTCTTCTCGAAGGTTGTGGTGCCAGACATGTAGAAGTAAACAGGCGTCTAATCGGCATTCCCGATTTTCCCTAGCAGGTAGCCGTTGTTGTGCTGCAAGTTTAGGATGAACTTCTAAAAACTGTGCAGCTTTTCATTGCACTCCTCCGCAAAAGTTTTCGCAGATGCCTGTTCACCTTCAAAGGGAAAAGCCTTTTCTCTTCATAAAGTTAGTTAGCCAGTGCCTGCTCGCTTTAAACTGGGTCCGCATTAGCCCTTTTTCCAAGGCCAATTGCATAGTCCGTACTTGGAGCAGTCCTGTCGTCACGGGCCACTGTGCCGCTCGCTGCTCAAGCACATACTAGCCGAGCAGCTCTTTAATTTGCGGAAACCGACCCTGCTGTGGTCCACTGAAGCCTTTGCGTGAAGCTTTGCTGTCGACAATCTTCTGCTTTTGTTACCGCCGGTTCCGCACGCACGTTTCGGGAACTCCAAACGACCGCGATGCGGCCCGATTTCCGTCCGTTTCTGCACACGCGATGACTTTTCTTTTAAAAGCGGCATCGTGGTGCCCTCTAGTTTTTGGATTCGGCCCTTTCATGCCGTCGGTGCTAATGCACTACAAGATGACGAACTCCTCAGCACACGTACGAAGTGCCGCACATGGGAAACACATAGGCAGAAATGGCCGACGTGCCATGCCGACGCATGTAGGGGGTGGCCATTTTGAAAATGCCGGTGGCAATAGAATGACCGTATTCATTTTTTTTTCGTACTTGATTCTAACGCGCATGCGATTTATGAACTCGCTTAACCGGAAAAAAGGTGCACGTTAGATTCGAGTAATTACGGTATTCCTAGTGTTGAATTAATAGACTGCCTGCAACTGTGTTAAGAGCTGTGCACATTATCTGGCATCTGGAAGAAAAATGCTGCTGAAGTGTATGGTGTGTGGAGTCTATGCCACAGGCCAATCCCTCCTAAAAAAATTATGCCTGGAACGTGAGCTTCAAATGTGCCAACGTACCCTCGGATTTTACCCTCCCCCTCTGGTACGGAGGCGAATGCCTGTGGCGGCCGCCCC